AACGCCGCGATGCGTAGGGCCTACGAACAACAAAGTGTTGGAAATCTTGTGTGACAATGTCGCCAAGAACTACTTCAGTACTGCTTTCTAGAAAGTAAATCAATTCGCTCGCGATGTCTCTTTATATAATAAATGAAGGGTGCTTATTTTGGCTAATCATTTAGTTCATAATAAATGAACATCTAAAATTAATTCAATCTCATCATAATAATACGACGATTAAAGTAATTAATCACTGTGGGAACACCTTGGTAACTTCCATTTGTCATTTCAGATTACTTTTTGTAAAACTTTGTGGTTTGGGCAAGATTCTTTTTTCATCATTTGTCTCTGTTCAACATCAAGTGTGTTTTGCTCTTCTCCCAGTCGAGTGTCGAATCACTGCATCTCTTTATGCGAAAAACTAGTAGCTTCTCCAAATTGTCTAAATCATTATCGACCGGACAATGTTGGAAAATAATTTTTTCCAATAAAATTATAGGATTGATTTATTGTTATCAAATTATTATGATTTTAACAGTTAAAATAGGATGACAAACATTGTTGCTTGAGTTATTGTTTTAGTGGGAAACTTGTTTCCGAAATGTTGCTTAAACTATTGTTTTATTAATGTATTTCGCTTTTTTTTTTTTTAATTATTGAATAAAGATCATTAAAATCTTACTTTCAACATAAAGTGTACTTAAATGCAAGTTAACTTACGTTAATAAGCTTGAAATTGAAATATTTATAAGTTTCAGGATCAATTTAAAAAAAGATCATGCTTTAGGGACATTTGGTGAATTAACTCTATATATGATTCATACGAATTTGCATCAGGGGGTCATGTAATCGATCGGCATCTAATGAAACTGCCTTTTCTGAGACGATCCAAAGACGTTAACCGCCGGCATTTCTAGTCCGTCTGGTGTCACCCCTGCGACCATTGCAGGTTCCTCAAGAAAATCCATAGCCATGGAATCTTCTTCTCAAATGGGAGAACTTCGGGAGAGTAAGTTTTCGAAGAGACGAAGGAGAGAAAAGCCTATCAAGTCATGGTCAGGAATCACTTGCTTGAGCTACATGTAAGAAATACATAATAAATATAATCAGTTGAAAGATAACATAATGTCATTGGAAATTATGTCGGGAACAGTTCTTTTGTTAAAAAGCAATGGCTTCTTTCTGGTGTTGGATATTATAAGAAAGTTAAGGCACACCATACTAGTGTTGGCATAAATGTCGCTCATAATCATTGTGTTCCAATTAAAACTCATATGATGCTGTCTCTCCAATGTGGATGGACCCCATTGACGATATCGGAATCAAAGCAACCACTTCAAAGCAGTAAACTAGTGCGAGAACCAAAATGGCCCATGTTAATTTAAGTTGTTATCTCATCTGATTTATATAGAAAATTGTAGTTGGTGATTAAACGGTAGTTGATTGGTGTTAACCGTTTCTCTCAATCTTAGTCGGGAGATTTTATAGCGATGCTTAGTGTTGGTGTCAGATGTAGAAGTATTATAATTATTCGTAAATTGATATGATAGATTAATATACATGATCGGTTGACAACATATTTAATTTTGATAAATTAAATAGATATATAAGAGATCGTAAATTCTCAAAGGATATATGACATTTGAAGTCTTTCTTCCGCATATATTCTGTCATAGCTTCCATTACGGATTAAACATCCAAGTTTTGGGCCAGCCATGTGCATATAAGCTTTATGCAAATAGGGCTTCTGGTTGCCTAAAACCTTCCGGTCATAGGCCTTCCATGCCTGGTCTGAGTTATTCAATTCAATGTAGCAGCCTACCACCTTCTAGCAAAAAAAAAATGTTTAGAGGATTCAAGTACGTAACATTTGACATCAACGTTGGGACCAATTTTGGCATTTAATCATGCCTTATTCCCTTCCCTTCCAAATAGAACATCGCCTTCCAGTCAATTAGTCCTGTAAAGAATATGCAAGCCAGCTATGGGGACTCTTTATTAATTTAAGCCACCTTATTCTTCCTAATTCTATAGGGAATCTCACCCTTCTTTTTTTATATATCTATTGCATGACCCACTTATTTTATACAATCAAAATCACTGTATCTGATAAAACCATGGTACGCCATTGACTTCAAAGTATTTTGTGTACTAATTCATTCTAACACTATTAAGCAACCCCTTTTTTACCATGAAATTGCTTCAATTTTTTTACCTGTTGATATAATTAATAAAGGGTCAGAGTTTTTTCGTTTGTTTGTTTACTGTCTGGATTGGTGGAGTGAAGTCAAGCCAACTGAAGGAAAAGGAGTCATTAATGGTGAGATCAATGCCACACCTGCACCTCCTCGATGGGTTGCTTTCTTCATCAAATTCCAACGAAAACTTCTCAGAAATTACAGACAGAAGAAAAGTACCGAATTAAATTCCCGGCTATCATGTCATTATTTAAAAAAAAACAAGTGACTTGACACTTACCCAAATTAATCCTAAATACAAGGCAGCTTCAACTTCAAGGCTTTTTCTTCATTAATACCACACTTGTATTTGATTATTGATCGACTTAAGTTAAATGTAAGCATAAGTTGCAAGTAAAAATCCCCACCACCTCTCCTCATGATTTTCAAGTCAACTTTCTCTGTGCACGTTTCATCGTCGTCGTGGCCGTCAACTTCGTCGTCATCATCATCATCTAGAAAACCCATTTCGCTCAAGCTCAGAAACTTGTCTTTGATTGTGTTCTTGATGAGGAAAAGCATGCAACGTTGATGTATGAGACAAAAGTTTGATAGTCTAATGAAGAGCAAGGGGGACCTGATCTGATGTTTTCTTAGGTGGTGAGTTGTGGGGCCTGCACCGAAATCATGTTCACACAAGCAATCACTTTTCCAAAATGTATATAATATGTAAAAGAGTAAAAAAGTGGGGTACTGAGTTGAGTGATTAAAGTTGTGTTGTCAGGACTCAGAAATGGAACTGAGTTTGCAATTTTCCAGAATCCAGCAGAGGGGGCCTTTCACTTCTTTTCACAACGTCCAAATCTCTGCTTTGCTCTCACCCGTCACAAACACAAAGCTGCCTAAAAAAAGCAATCTATTGGATCGAATAAAAGTCCTAAAGACCACAGTGAAAAATAAATAAATATAAATTATTTATTACCTAGGATAAAAAAATAACAAAAAAGAAACAGTCAAAAATTAATAAATATAAATTATTATTTCACAGGATAAAAGAATGGCGGATAAATTACAAATTTAACACTAAACGTTATTATCTTTTCTATTTTAGTCATTATATTTTAAATTTTTAAAAATTTCATTAAACTTAATCATGGTTTTCAGAACCGGACCGGTCATGCTACCGGTTCACTGGTTCAACCGGTTGAACCGGTCTGACGGTCGGAAGAACCGGACGACGTCATAATTATTTTAAAAATTAAATAAAAATACCAAAAATATTTAATAAATTTTTTTTATATCACAAGTCATATTCAAAGCAAGTCATAACATATATAAGTTAAAAACCATAAAATCAAGTGAAACAAAATGATTCAAATTAACTACAACATAATATTTAAGGTAAAACGTATTAAATAATAAATATAATTATATAATTATAATTAAAAAATAAATTTGGGGTTACAAAATTATAACAAAATGATATTGTTTGGTTTAATTTTTTTTAAAAAACAATCTCACATGGCTAAGAAACATAGAAGAGCATTCCAAAATTTTAAAAAGTAAAAATATGAGAACAAAACAATATCACATTGCTAAGAAACATAGAAGAGCATCACAACTAACTTCTATAAATAATAGAGGTAATTTGACATTCAAAATCATGAAGCCTTTTGGTGAGCATTGAGTGAACAATTCTTTCACTTCAATCAAGCTCGAATTTTAGGCTTCAATCGAGCTTCTAAATTTTTTTGAGTTCAAGCCTTTTTGAGTTCAAGTTTCAATATTATATTTCGAGTTTGAGTTGAACTTGATAATTTTTAGCTTGTGAGTTTGAGTTGAACTTACTTTTAAAGTTTTCAAGTTCGAGTCGAGCTCAGCAATACTCGAGTTCGACTTGGCTCGTTTAACAAACGACGTTGTTTGGTTTAAATTTTTTTAAAAAAAAAACAAAATTCCCGGTTTTTCTCGGTTTTTCCCTATTTTTTCAGGTTTTCAGCCGGTCCGGTTCGAACGGTTCAACGGTTCTGGCCGGTTCACTAGCAGCGGTTCAACCGGTTTAGATTGAACCGGACTAAGCAACGGTTCCCGGTTAAACCGGTTGAACGGGCCGGTCCGGTTTTCAAAACAGAGAACTTAATACAATAATTTTTTTTATCATTCAATCGTTTTTTACTAACAACATTATAAATAATAATTTTATAGATGCAAAATGATATCATTTTTTAGAAAATTTATCTTTTAAATGATATTATTTTAACGTTATTAACTATTTAACGATGTAATGATAAAAAATATAATATACTAAGTTCAATGATAAATTTAAAATTTTTACAGTTGAATGTGTAAAACAAGAGAGAATATAGTGATGAAATTTGTGAGCCAGACCAGATAGGCACTTTTGTTTTTGTAAGTACAAAAACGATGGCGTTTTAAGGTGGTCTTCTTTCTTTTACCTACACACCATTGGGAAATGGTCATGTGTACTCACTCGGTTACTTGTGTCTCTGTCTTGTTTTCTTTAATCTTTCTTCTCTTTCTCGAACCCAAAGTGGAACAAACTTGAGCAGAGTATAAACTCAGGTTTCTTCTGAAACTCAAAGTATTCTCTTTCACCCTGGAAAATGCTGAGTGTTTTCAGAAATCCTGGGGGATTCTTCATTGCATTTCCTTTCTATATTGTTTTTAACCAATGCTCCCAAGTCCCAACCTTTTCCCCCTGTTTGGTCCCTAAGAAACCCAATAAAACAAAAGGAAAACTTGCTTAAAGAAATAGGGAGAATCTCAATTTAGCTAAAAGAACTGTCCCCCCTTAAATTAAATTAAATTAAACGAGTTTGATTATGATAGATGTTGCAAGAGTTGTCAAGCTTTTTAAAAAATAGAAAAATAAATAAGTTATTTTGGCTCCACTTACAGTTTTGAATGATTCAAAAATGGCGGAGTCAAGCAAAGTGAGGTTGGTTAGGTGTCCAAAGTGTGAAAACCTTCTTCCGGAGCTCGCTGATTATTCGGTTTACCAGTGCGGTGGTTGTGGCGCTGTTCTTCGAGGTATACCCTTGCTTTCTCTTATCTCTTTCTTTCTTTTTCCTAGTTATTTGTTTGGTTTATGAGAATATTGCTGGGGAACTCGATTTTGGATCTTTGATCGATGTTAACCTTGTTGCTATAAATGTTGAAACTTCAACCGATTGGTTAAATCGAAGGGAGGTGTAGTTAAGGTATGGGCCATGTATGGTGTGTTTTTTACAATCAAATCTTATTTGAATCGAACTGTTAGTTAGTCCTTTGCATTTATCAACAACGGGCAAGGTGCATTCTGAGAAAACTCGATGGTATAATGTCCTTGATCCATTGATAATTAAGCCTACCATTTTCCTAAGAAAATGAAAGAACTGAGAGGACTTAAGCCTCATTATTTTCAAAATTGGGAATCTGGTATGGTCATAACAGCACTCGCTGGATTAGTTTTAGATGCAACCAGAATATTGAAACCACTCGAGGCTTTGATTTCGGTTTGTTGTTGTTTTCTGAACCCTTTTCTCCTAGTTTTAATAGTGAAATGTTTGTTTAGCAGCGAAAATCAGGAATCTCAATGGCGATACTTTCTCCAATGACAAGTCGGAAGAATACAGGCTTGGCAGAGTTTCTAACAAATCACAAACTTCCTTGGAGAAAGGAGAAGTAGACTTGGGTAATGCTTCTGATGCAGATGTTAAATCAAATGCTGATGATGTTGAGTGCTCTGATAGAAGTATGAATGAACCTAAGGTTGCTGGTGGTGATAAATGGTCTGTTGAAAATGCAAATAATATTAGCAGGAGCAAGGATGAAATAGTGAATTCCATTGGAAGAGAACAGGAAATGGATTCGAATTTTGGATATACTGGTGGATCACAAAGAGTGGGACAGATGTCTGGTTGGCAAGCTGGGAAGCGAGAAAAGATGGTGCAGTTTCAAACAATTTCAAGATCTTTTGTCGAAGGTGTGTCGTTTTCTACCTCGAAACATCCAGATGAAGGCCAATCAAGCCATAATTTGGATTCTTCTTACGGAGAATCATTGCAAAATCGAATTGACCTGGATGGTTCTGGTGGAATTCATCTTGAACAAGGTCGAGCTGAGCTTCTGAGGAAACTAGATGAGCTGAAGGAGCAACTTAGTCGGTCTTGTGATGTGGTTGATAAACCAAAAGAGAAGGTTGTTCCTCCAGAGTCTTACGGTGGCGGTGAAAGCTGGTTACCAAATGGTTCTTCGGGATTGCGGAAGCCATCAATTCCTTTCTATGGACCTGATAAGCGTGCTGCAGAAGTAGGACCCTCTTATTTTAGCTATTTCCCAGAACCATTTGCTTATCCTGTTGAGCATGATATGACTCGGCACGGGATGTATCCTCCGATGCATAATCCGAATCACATTCCTCCGTATGGAGATCCTTTTGGATCCAAAATGCTTGGAAGAGCCCCGCACCAGTTCCCTGGAGAGTACCAACGGCCACATCATCCATACTTTTCCGGACAGTACATTGAAAATAATCATGACCCGTTTATGCCATATCCACGAAGTTCAGTGTTGCACCAGGCTTCTTGTTCTTGTATTCATTGTTATGAGAAACAGCAGCGAGTTTCAGAAACTATTCATCCCGGTTCATTTGGCAATAAAAGGTTCCATGATGTGCCTGGTAACCCATTGTACCATATTGACAACCCTGGATCTTTTGGTTCGCGTTTCCATAGTTCTAGAACTACAGTTGCCTCATTGAATGCGCACGGTACACAAGCTTATACTAGATGGCCCAGTGATATTAACTCGGAAATGGATGGTTTTACTCATTGCCGTCCCCAGAGGGTAGTGTTAGCCAGTGGTGGGCACCATATTCGTCCTATAGCTGGTGGTGCTCCATTTATAACATGTTATAATTGTTTCGAATTGCTACAAGTGCCCAAGAAACTGCAGCTCATGGTAAGCAATGAACATAAATTGCGGTGTGGAGCTTGCTCAACTGTGATAAACTTTACTGTCATCAACAAGAAAATCGTTCTTCGTGATCATGCAGAAACAAAGGGAAATTCTGTAGATATTGATGATAACTCTAATGAAGGCCATGTCAACAGAGTTGCTACTAACTTCTCTGATGACTATGATCAATCAGGTTATGATTTTCAGCCAATGGACAGAGAACCTGTGGCAGTGTCAACTGGCCAAGCATTGAACTCGGTCAGATCTCAGGAAATGCAAAGTTTCCATTCTTCATCTCCAAGCACCTCCGAGGACGAAAACGGTCCAGCTGTTTTAATTGCTTCAAGAGACAAAGTAAGTTCTGCTCCGCAGCCAACCAAATCTACTTTGTCTCCACCACCTGCAGGGTCGCCTCTTCAAGAGCACTTTGATTACTCTTCTACTAATCATGTAGCCAACCGTTTTGGGAAGGGAAATCGTAGTAGCCGCTCTGATCAAGAGAAAGTTGTGTCAAACAAGGGTACCACACGACAAAATTCTTTAAAAGAGGCATTGCCTACTGAGATGGAGGTGTCATTCAATGAGTATTCTAATACTGGGATTTCTCAAGATTCAGGGGATGCAACTAGAGAAGACGATCAACCAAAGATGGCAAAAGGAGGCGAATCATTTTTCGCAAATATTATCAAGAAGAGTTTTAAGGATTTCTCAAGATTTAATCAAACCGAGGAACAAGCGAAAAGTAATATTTCAGTTAACGGTCACCCTCTTCCTGAAAGGGTGGTTAAAAAAGCCGAGAAGATGACTGGAACAATTCTTCCTGGACACTATTGGTAAGCATTTGTTGATATTCTTCCTGATATGTGCTATGACTTTTGCTTGTTTCTTTGTATGTCTGTTGTGATAGAGATGCATGTAATTTCTAGTGTATTTCAATAACAGACATTCTTGTTTTGCGCATGACTAAATCAGGTATGATTTCCGAGCTGGATTCTGGGGTGTTCTCGGTGGGCCTTGTCTTGGCATAGTTCCTGTAAGAATGAATAATTTTTATCTTGATACTAACGGTTCAGCATTTTGTTATTCTTTGGTTTTGTCAAAATATATATGCTATAAGAAAACTGAATTTCTATTGCAGCCTTTTATCGAAGAACTTAATTATCCGATGCCGGAAAATTGTTCTGGTGGGACCACCGGTGTTTTTGTAAATGGGAGAGAACTCCATCAGAAAGATCTAGGTTTGCTTGCTAGTAGAGGGCTTCCGACGGACAGAGATCGATCGTACATCATTGAGATATCAGGCAGAGTTCTGGATGAGGACACTGGTGAAGAGCTAGATAGCCTTGGCAAACTTGCCCCAACGTGAGTACATCATTCCAACATCCCTTTGGATTAATTATTGTAAGAAAAGTACATAATTTGTACATGATCTTCCCGCATTGATGGTACTGAAACCTACTTTTCATGAATACTAGGTGTTAGTGCATCATACCGACATTGTATTTGTACATCATCCTGCTTGCTTCATTGTCTGTCAATTGTAACTTTGAACTCGTGGTTCTTCTAATTTTGGATTGCTGCTGAATTGACTTTATCTCAAGATGGAATTTCTTTGATGCAATACTTATCCTGAAGCATTTTTTGACCTGATTTTTAACAGAGTCGAGAAAGCAAAGCGCGGTTTTGGCATTAAAGCTCCGAGAGCAGCTGCATAATGAATTTGTAATGATCATGGCAGAAATAGCCGTCGCAGTAATCGGTTAAAACTCTGATTACTGAAGTCTGAATGAATGTTTCTCTACCGACTATGGGTTGTTTGATGTTGGATTGTTTCTTAAGCCATTGGTAAACATCCTAAATTTATTGCGTTCTCTATGCTGCAATTTGTATATGCAAGTTATGTAAATTATGTTTCCTCCTGCCATTTTATATTTTACCGAACGAGATTTCGGGTTTCTTTGGTCTGTCCAGGTGATCAACATTGACAGGTTAAACCCAGAAAATGAAAACGCCGATAGATTCTGGCGATTCATGATACAAACATCAACAGCATGAGATGAAGTTGTGGAACGTTATCTAACTGTTTTTATTAGGGAAGATCTTAAGCCCTGTTTTCAAAATTAGAATCACTGTTTCATGAGACATAACTAAATCACAATGCAAGATTTATAACCAAAACCACGCACACATAAAAGGAGGGAAGGAAATACAGAACCAAGAGGTAGATCCTGCTTTTATCATGTTGATTTGCAAAATTATCTGCCTGGTGCAACTTAAGCAATGTTCCGACACTCGATGCAAATGTTTAAGGGCATGGTAGTCGAATTGTTATTGAGAAAGAGAAAAGAGAAACTACCACAAATTACACAACAATCGGATTCGATATTATTCAACAAATAACTCCTAAGCATTTGCAAGCTCAAGAGGTCAGGAAAAACAAGCTCTGGAATACCAACGAGCAACAGTCAACTTCCGTCTACTTGCTTGATGATGGCGAATCATTCTTCTTCTTTGGTTTAAGATATGGATCCTGTCAACATTCCCCACACATGAATTCAAAATTTGACACAATCAGCAAGAAAACACAAGGAGAAAACAATGAGTTAAAGACATCATATGCTCATTTAAATAGACCGTTTTCAATCTCCAAAGGAAATTCCATGTTTTCATTTTCTTGATAGCAATGCACAATCTACATTTTAAGTTTCCATTCGATTCAATTATAAATCAAAATTCAAATACAGAAGAAACCTATATTTCAATATAATGAAGCAACTTGGAATAGTGTGATCTAGATTCTCTACAACCTATAAAAATATCATTTAAATCTTCATGTACCTAAAACTACGATGTTCCATCTATTTCATATCAAATACAACAAGAAAAAGTAAAATAGCAAGATATTAAGCACTTGATCCTCCTAATTAATATACATTTTCTACAGTCACAATCAGCAATTATTCCGATAGATTAAAATTTGAGACTTAATGTTTGGAAAAACCATATAAAATTCCTAAAAGAAAGGAAAGTTGTTCCTAATCTACGATTTTATATGTGCAAAAATAGGTTTAAAACTGGGAAAGGAAAGGGCAAAAGAAATTACGTCAACAAAGAGAAGGTGGGCTGCAACGGTGGCTCCCACGACGCCGCCGATGATGAAGACTGGGCCGGTTAGCAAACTCCATTTGCGGTATATCATTTTTGCTCTCTTTTTTCGCTCCTCCTATAAGTTTCTGCGCTTTCCTTTCCCTAAGATCTCCCGAATTCCAACAACTCATCACAGGTACGAGAAACTCGAGTGCATTTAAAGAAAGAGAGCAGGCCAATTGGGGGCAATTCTTGCTTGGCCCAAAGGCTTTCTTGGGTTCTTGGTACTTATTGGATTATCTCGGCTTAAATATGGGCAACAACTCAGTTGCCCTTTAACTGTGTTTCCCAATAAAATCAACTCCAAAAATCAAGCAAACTTGAGTGAAACGTTTAAATGTGGGATAAAGCTTGATTTAGTCCTTGAATTTGACTTATTTTTCTCACATTAGTCTCTGAAATTGTATTGTGTGGCACAGGTTAGTCCTTCCTATTAACATAGTTGGTTTATGTTTTTTGTCCACTTAATCCCTAAATTTGTATGTTTCTGTCTACATTAGCTCCTCAATTTTATATATTTTTATTGGTTAAAAACAACACTTGATAATGAATTCATATAGTTTTGTTTGTTGGTGGGCGTGAATTTATCCATATTTGAAATCGAACATAAATATTACATTGCAATTATATTAGAATCTTCAGGTGATGTCGAAAGCGACTATCAACTAGATCTCGGGTCCGTGCTTGCTAAAACATCTTTAATCATTACTTACTATAGAATGTTTACATAATTATGCTCTAAATTAATTTGGTAATCATCTATGCAGATGAAGGTATTGGAATCTTGAGCAGATATGGACAGGCAACACTCGTCAACTATTTCATGACTTAAGAATGTTTGCGAAGCGCTTCGAAGGAGAAAAGGTCGACAAATAATTTTCAGCACTTCATTGAATTTGATCATGTATAAATTTTATTCGAATTTTTCTAATTATCAGCCTATTCATTTATATATTGTAATAATTAATTGTGATTATTATTATAAACTGTGTTTATTGTAAATACAGATTTAATTATAGATTCTAATTCAAAGTATAAATTATCATTTATAATAGATAAAAAACACAAATGATACTTAAAATAAAGGCTGCTAAGGATAATAATAATTTTCAAAAGATTGGTTAAGAATAAACTGTGGATCAAAGAAAGTTTGTGAAAATGGGATAAGTTAGGGTACCCTATTCTCTATTACTATTTGGGGTTCATGGAAAAATATAAATGATGCCACCTACAACAATAGAAACATGAATCCGAGCCAAATTACTCAACACAGCCGGAAACTAGCAGAAGAAATTAAGACAACCATGGACACAACTCACAACAAAGTTACAAGGGAACCACGTTGGGTGAGATGGATGAAACCACCTGAAGGGGCATGGATTCTCAACTAAGATGGAGCACACAACACAACCACCGGCCTAGCAGCGGCAAGAGGTTTAATCCGCGATAATTATGGAGACTGAAAAGGGGACTTCTTACTAGAAATCGGGAAAACCAGCTGCTCAGTTGCAGAAATTTGGGGAATTAGGCAAGGTCTATTCCTAGTAAAGTCCTTGGGAGCGGAAAGATTGATAATTGAAGCTGACGCTAAATGGGTCGTGGAAGCTTTAATCAAGGGTGAAACAGAAGCCCTACATGAAGAAGCTCTTGTTAAAGACTGCGTGGAAATCTGCAAGGAAGGATGGGTCATCGAGATCCGCTATACTTGGCGCGAAGGGAATAGATGCGCCGATTGTATGGCTAAAATGGCTCTTGAAATAGAAGAGGAAACTCATGTCCTTACCAACCCTCCGAAGGAAATTGTTTCGTTATTACAAGCTGATGCTAGAGGATTGGCCACTCTAAGACTGTATGCTATGCTGTAGTCATATTACTCAATGTACCAAAAAGAAAATAATTTTCAAAGTTGATCCCACTTTACAATATTCTGATGCATTAGTGCTCACATTTATGGCATTTTAGCAATCCAGTCGGAGTTGACTGCATTATCATACAAGAACAAATAAAGGCTTCTAAGGATAATAATAATTTTCTAATTTGATCCCTTTTTATAACATTACGATGCATCGGCGCTCACATTGCCCCATCCAGCTAATTTCTATTTAATTAGAGTTTTTTTTTCTCTTAAAACATATCATAAAATAATATATTTCAAATCTTTAATTATCAAATTAAAAAGCATGAACTAAAACCAAAACTTTAATATAGTACAAATTTGATTTTAATTTGGTTCCAGGGGCTGAGCCTGAATCTATCTAGCTTATATATGGAACACTCTGCCTTCCATTTGAGTCGTCCGATTCTATTCAACAAATTCTAAGTTTTTCCACTACAAGCTCTGCAGATCGAGCATGGCGCATGTTAGGCTATAGCTTACTGTGTACATGCATGTATTATAGCATGGCTTGTGGCAATCAGTTAGTTTAGGCGCCAAATGTTGTTAGTCGATTAAAGTGATTGTTAGCTTGACTCTAGCTATAAAGCTAGTATGATTGTAAATGCAACACACGTGAATTCAATATATCTCTTTCATATACAGTTTCTTAATATGGTATCTTTTGCCATTAGTCTTGGGGTTTCTTGAATAACTCTTACTGCGCGATTCTTGCTTGGTGTTTCAATGGATTCGTCCACAAGTACGGGCTTCTCTCATAAGAAAATCAGCGTTGTTCTTGATGAGATGAACTACCTTCTGTGGAAGCAGCAAATTCTGCTCACGGTAAGGAGTCACCGTCTTGAACGCCTGTTGATCGGAGCTCTACAATCACCACCGGAGACGATTCTTGATGATACCAGTGCGATTCGTGTCAATAATGCGTTTGAGGATTTTGTTGCGTAGGACAGTGCGCTTGCTTTGTGGCTCCTGTCAACCATTAGCCCTCATCTTCTTCCTCATTTTGTTGGTGCCGAATCTGCAGCTGCAGTATGAAGTGTTGTGCAACAACTCTTTGCCAGCAGATCCACGACGGCAGCTATGAGTTTGCACTGCAAGTTGCAGTTGCTAAGGAAGGGCAATGATAGCATGCGAGTGTATCTCACTCGTGTAAAAGAGGTATGTGATGCACTTGCCTCGTGTGGTAGTGCAGTTTCGCATGTTGGACATGTTGCCAGCATCTTGAAAGGATTACCCAGGGAGTATCAACCGTTTATGGCAGTTATCACTACGATGAAGGAAACACTGTCCTTGGATAGTCTTTACACCGTTCTTCTTGATGCTGAAGCACAGTTGGCCGGGTTTGATGAGCAGTTTGATTACGCTCCTATGGAAACCAATGTTGTTGAGAGAGTAGAGAGTCATGATTCCTCTGCTAATGGGCGGCGTGATTCTAAATCTTCACGCTCATCATTTACAAACAGGACAGGCGGCCGAGGTCGAGGGCGAACTAAGATTCAATGTCAGCTATGTGGCAAATTCGGTCACTTGGTTGATCGATACCGGCATCGTTATGATGAAGAGTTTATGTGTGTTACTTCTGAGTCTCATGCTCACAAGGGGCAGTCTGCCAATGCTCTCTATTCTGCTACTGAAACTTTAAACCTGGGATGTGAATACTGTAAAGGACATTCTCAGACAGCAGATAATTTGCAAGCTAACACGATCTCCAGATCCAGTGATCATTGGGTGGTGGATTCTGGAGCTACGCATCATATCGTACTAGATGCTGCGAATGTTTCGAACCCTGCTGAGTTTAGAGGTCCAGGTAAACTTATTGTTGGCAATGGAGTTTCTGTTGATATTCGTAACATTGGTACTGCATTTGTTTCCACTGCTTCTGCAAGAACACTAGTTTTGACTGAATTATTGCATGTACCTCACATAACCAAGAATTTGTTTTCGGTCTCTAAGCTTGCTAGGGATAATAAGGTTTACCTTGAATTTCATGCTGAGAAGTGCTTTGTCCGTGATGAATCCTCTAAGGCGATTCTTCTGCAAGGTGAAGAGAAAGGAGGACTCTATACGTTCTCACTTAGTGATCTTACTTCAGAAGGTTGTGGTGTTGCTGTTCATCTTGCAACTACAGACTTGACTTAGTCTGAGCTATGGCATCGACGATTGGGACATCCAGCTAGTTTTGCCTTAAGGAAAATTGCTAAATAACTTGATGTTGATGTTAATAAAACGTATGTGGCTTGCTTTATGGGCAAAAGTCATAAACTCCCATTTTCTTCAACCAATACTGAGTACACTGCACCTTTTGAACTAGTATTTTCAGACTTGTTGGGACCTCCTCACATTGCTTCCAATGTCTTTCGTTATTATGTAATTTTTATGGATGCTTTTACCCGATTAACTTGGCTCTATCTACTAAAAGACAAAGCACAAGCTGTTGATGCATTTCACTTGTTTCACAAACTGGTAGCAAACCAGTTTGGCTGTTCAATCAAAGCCTTTCAGTCAAATTGGGGTGGTGAGTACCGAGTGTTTCTTGCGTTGCTTGCCAGATCAGGGATAGTGCATCGGTTGACTTGCCATCACACGTCTGAGCATAACGGAGTCGTTGAGCGTAAGCATCGTCATGTTGTTGAATTAGGACTTATCCTGTTAGCCCAAGCATACATGCCCATGCAGTACTGGTCATATGCAATTGTGATTGCTGTTCAGTTGATCAACCGGCTTCTTACGATTGTGCTTGGAGGAATGACTCCTTATGAGAAGTTGTTTCAGAAGAAATCTGAGTATACCGCACTGAAGGTCTTTAGATGTCAGTGTTTCCCACACCTGAGACCCTTCCAGAATCACAAATTGTGCTTTTGATCTCAGTCATGTACATACCTGGATTTAGTCCTCAGCACAAGGGCTATCAGTGTCTGGCAAGTAATGGCAGAGTCTATATCTCTAGACATGTTATATTTAATGAAAGAGTTTTTCCTTTTGCAGATAAAGCTACTGCTTGCCGCCCACATCATGCACGAGTTGCTCGTTCACGTGATATCCCAGTTGTTACAGATATGAGGAAGTGGATTACTGATGTTGCACCAACCATTATACAAAGTAATGCGCATATTGATAATGCACATGGGGTCGCCGAACCAGCTCATAATGTTACGCATGGGACCGAACCAGCTCATTACAATACGCATGGGACCGAACCAGCTCGTGATCATGTGTATGTGCAAGCTACTTCAACGCATATGAATAATCAAAGTGGGACCACACCTCTTGCCGACCGAATGT